AAGAGGGTGAGCAGTGGTCTCTGGCTGCCTTCATCCCAGCTCTTCATGAAGCCGCCGTAGCGCTTGCCGGTTGGCGGACCGCTCCAGCGGAAGTGCTTCATCTTGTAGGGGCCATCTTTCTTCTCCTGGATGCTATTCAGGAGCTCCCGCTGCTCCTCCTCCATCACCTCCTGTGCCTTCTCCTCCTCCTCTGCTGCCGCTGCCAACAGCTCGTTGGCCAGCTCCCGCCTCCTCATCTCTCCGGGGAAAACTTCAGCGGACTCCTCCTCCACACCATTGGAGGCGTAGACTTTGATGGGGCGGCGTTTTCGACCGACGGGTTTCCCCCAGCGGAAGTGTTCCATGGAGTAGGACCGCTTGGCCTGAGGAGTAGTGGAGGAGGAGGACGGGAGGATGGAGGAGGAGTCTGGAGGCTGAGGTTGGAGGTGCGCTCTTCCTGGGATGAGGGGCGTCTCGGCGGTGAGGTCGGAGTGACAGAGCTGGATACAGTCCTGCAAGAGGAGACTTGAAGGTAAGTGTCATTTTTCTGTTAAATGTATTTGTTAAGTGTAAATAAAAACAAACAGAAGTTAATGAAAGGTGATTTAGATCTGGTTGTATCCATATAAACACGTTTGTGACTCAGGATGTTTGCAGTGCGTTGAGAATGTCACCCGTCTTTTTGTCTGTGCATAAAAGGAAATTAAATTGTTGCATTATTAACTGAAAGTGCAGTGTATAGTGTTTGCAGTACAGTGGAGGACGTGTGTCTTATAGTGTTACCATCACGCTGGCCTCAGAGTTGAGCTCCTGGCAGCTCGGGTGCTCCCAGCACTGACTGACAGCTCCTCTGGTCACGCCCACAACTACCACAGCCACCAACAGCCACACAGGACACATTGTCCTGCCAGCCAATCAGAGACAAGGTTTCACGCTTCTTAGACAAAGCTATTTAGTATAAAGAAAAACATAAAAGTGACGAAAGAGAAACTGTTCAGTCTTTCTCTTTTAGACATTTTTGTTTTATATCATGCATAGTATATAATATACATATAATATAACAACCCATACATAAATACACAGGATACTTTACATTTTTAATATATTTTCCGCTTTGGTAGTGTAGTTCACAGCAGTGCAACTGATGCTAATGTCTAACACCACAGTTATTGTGACATTATTGTGGTAATACTGTACATGGCTACATATATTTGTGTATTGTGTGTATATTATATATCTATGCTATCAAAATCGATTTTTTAAAACTAAGAACAGTTTTTGTTTAGGCAATGCATTTGTCAGATAAAAAGGTTTTTAAATAGTTTGTGTTTTAACTTATAAAAAAATTATTTTGTAGGAAAAACTCATGTTCTAAATCATGTTTTTACAGGACATGATATATTGCACATATATACATATATAACTTCACCATATACTTGCAAAATAAATTTCAAAAAATATGTACTTTTTTACAAATTTGTAACAAATGTCATTAACATATTTAGCTTCAAAATTTATTTTATTACACTGTATTTTATATTTATCTTGTTTTAACCTACTTTATCTCATTTCTAGAAGTTTTTAAATTGTATGTATTTATAAAAAAAAAGTTTGCAATCACTTGTCTTTTAATTAGCAACAGAAGTTTTATTTACTTTCCAATTATTAATGATTTGGTAACAATCAAATTTGGAAACTATTTCAATTAAATCATTTTTATAATTCAGTGTTTAGTTTTAGATAACTATAGTTTATTAAAGTAAATCTATAAATAACAGGTGCTGTTCTCACCGCGTTGTCCCGTCTCTCTTCTTCTTGCTCTTATTGCTGGTGTTTTGGCGGCAGAGGCTGTCGGATGGAGCTTCCTGTTGTTCCTCTCCTTTTCTGTGCCCCCGACCCTCTGGCTGACTTTTATATTGTGTCAGCCAAGGACACGCACACAGAAAAATGACATCGTCATCACTGATGCCTGTACAAATTCGGTGAAATATCCTCCTACACACAAACACAAACACACGCTCACTCTGATGAAAACCTTGTGTGTCCACAAGCTGAACAGTTGAAGAAAGAACATTCATTAATGAATTGTGAAATTATTGTTGGGAGTTGTTAATCTGTTATATGGTGGTGGTTCTGGTTTGTGTTTTCACTGTTTCCTGCTGCTACAGGTGCAAATTGGGCAAAAACTAAAAGAGCCCCCCCCCCCTGGTCTGGGATCAACATGTTAAACAATAGACATCAAACCTGGAGAGAGCAGGTTTTTGGAAGTGCCATGTGACAGCAGACCCAGACAAACACACACCATGCAAACCTCCCTGCTTCTGCAGCCTGTTAAATGTCAAACAACAGATTGACAGATTAACACCGAGCCGCCATGTCGTCACCGTCAGGAAGACAGGATTCAAACCTGCGAGTCAGGGTGTAGAATTATACAGACACACACCTGCTGCGGCTTCGTCTCTTTGTCTGAACTCTCATCACTAATGGCGACTCTGCAGAGGGTTTATCTTGTTTAACGGACCACTGGGGAAAGTGGAGAACCCGGTACTACATTAACTAAGGTGATTTAATTAAGGCTCTACCTCCACCAGGAGCTTCTCTTTAAGGGTACGTGTCCACTTAGAGCTTATCGTCAGCGCTCTGTTTCCACCATTGTCTTCAAGGTTCTGCTTGTACCATGAGCCTGTCCTTAAGGCTCTGTGTCCACAGAGAACTCTTGCTCCAGGCTCTTCTGTAAATCTTCTAAGACGTTCTCGGTGAGACTCGTTGTCTATTAGAAAGTTGTGTTTAAGCCTCTGAAGACGTCGGGAACATCTGTGTCCTCTGTTTAGACTCTACGTTTTAAGACTATGTTGCTCACCTACTTCTCTTTAAAGGCTTTGAATGTACCTGAAAGTTCATTAAAGGTTTACTTTGTTTATTTATGTTCAACAAATATTTCTCCTCAAATTTCTGTGTTGTTTTGAATGTTTTCTGTCAGACAGCACATCCACTACGAGCCTCATTTTAAAGCTGCACTCCTGTCAGTTGTCCATCTGGGAGGAGTTCCCCTTTTAGGGATTTTTGATGGTTTCCATGTCTGTATGCGTTCTAGAGTTCAACGATGTAAGTTTTGTCAGTTTCCCAGGTCCATTAGGGTCCACGTGCACTCGGTGTGCATGTGAGTTTCCCAGATCCATTAGGGTCCATGTGCACTGTGTGTGCATGTCTCTGTGCAGGGCAAAAAGAGGACAAAAGGTTGACTCTTGATTTAAAGTATAAATGGGAACACGCATTCGGCTCTTGATCATGTTGACCATTTTTCTGCCGTGTCTTTAAAGCTCCGTGTCCACTAGAGCTCTTCTGTTGTGGCTCTCCAGTGGACTAAGAGACTCTAGGGCCCGTCTCTTTAACAAAGGAGTTTGCTAAACACTAAGAAAAATCTGTTTTTTAAAGGTTTCTCACTAACAAGGACGGCTTCTCTCCCTGAGCCTCCCTTTAGTGTCGTATTATCCACCAGCTTGCTCTGTGTAAAGCTCTTCATCCCTTGATAGTGTTTACTCAGAGCTCTGTGTCCACAATTAATGCTCTACTTACTAGGAGTTCTAACGTCTCAAAGTCAGACCCCATTCCACTTGTACAATCAGATTCTTCTAACTTGTTTCACTTTGTTTTGTTCTGGGTAAAGTTCCTTGTTAAATGGCAGAGGTAAATGTACATTTCAAAGACATTAACATGAGGTTAGTGTGTAACCCTGAAAGGTGACAAATTTTGTATTTGCAAAGTCTACCATTTTATGTTGTTTGAAGAAACTGTGATAATAAAAGTTGTCCGGTTTCAGTTGGGATAGAAAATCCTCATTTTAGTTTTGTAGTTTGTTGTATTTGAAGCTTAGTCTTGATTAAAAACTCTGGATTTGATGTCGTGGTCCTTTTAGATTCTGCCTGGATTACAGCCCTGAGTCCACATGTGTATTCAAACAACAGTGTTTCTTTGTTATGTACAAGCAAGACGTTACAACTGGGGCTTGTGGTGTATGGAATATTTTTAAGCATTATTATTATGAAGTATTTTGTGTCACTGCTGTTTGTGCAGCTGAGCTGAAGCTGTGCTACTTCATGGCAGTTAGTCATCGTAAAGCCATTTTTCTCAAGGGCTATTTTTTGTGTTTTTAATGGAACCAATTGAGCAGCATCTGGAGTCAGGCAGGTAAATATAAACCCATTAGACTGCTCTCCCAGCCTTGAAACGTCATTCATTCCATTATACACACCATCCGTCGTATGCCGAGGAACAGAGATAATGGCTCGATGAAGGAAGAGTCAGTCAAAGTGGACTCGACGCACAGACATTCAGACAAGCACTTTACTCTCCCGCTGCAGCCGTGAAATGTCGTCTCTGTCTCTATTTCTGCTTGTCTAATGCTGATGTTTGGCTGTGTATTCTTCTGCTAATTTATCAGGACAACTCATGTTTATAAGTTCTACACTGGTGTGAAAATTTAAAAGTAGAATTCATTTGAGATTCTGAAAAACTTTGTGTTTACGTTAGTTTCAGATGAAAAGCTTAGTTGAGTCCCCTAACTTCATGTTTTAACTTCAGTGCTGATACTGCAGGGAAACATTCACTCAGTAGGTTTTGATGTACTTTTACAGTCAGAGAACAGTTGTTGTGATGTTCTTGTGTTGTGGCACATTTGTTTTGAGCAGATTAGTTGGCCATTAAAATGTAAGAGGTGCTACATTCCAATGTTTTGACCAGAAAAATCTGTATGAATGGGCTCAAATTAACATTAGACATGATCCTAGATTCTCATGTCAGTCTTTTCCTGTACGTGTGTATTTCTGTCAGATCACTGTCAACTAGTGTCAGATGGGGCAAAAGGAAGCGGTCATATTTTATTTTTAGTTTGCTTTTATTTTTTTATTTTAATTTTGGAGAGGAGGGGATCAGAGCAAAGAGTACAGAGGCAACAGAGGAGAGAGGTTTTGCAATCAGTACATGCAATGTACAGAACCAATTGTGGCAGTTGATGCAGAATCTATTTAAGACCAGTATTGTCTTTTGTAGTAATTACTGCCAGTGTAGTTTACAGTGCTTTTCATTGTAACTACTTAGAGGTATAATAATGTTCTCTCCTGTTGCTTTTTTTTTCTCTGTTAGGATGTAGCTGACGAGGACTTGTACAGTCAAACTCCAGTGGGACTTCTCTGTGTTAAAGATGCAGAGCGAGCATTGTCTTGGAAGGGAGTGTCGTGACAGATGAGCTGGCCAACCAGTCTAAGGCCTTCTGTATTCTGTAAACCATGTTGCAACCCTAAAATTCAGTGATTGGACTAACTCCTGGTCCCCACAAGGATGGCCAAGTCCCCACAGTGTGAGTGTGTTAGCAGGTTTCGGTCCTCATGATGCAAGTAAAACAAAGGCAAACACACACACAGTCTAGATGCATTCGACAGATCTGTATGTACAAGGTGTATTTACTGAGGGTTATTGTCCAGTCATACTGTTGTGGGTCAAGTGTTCATCAGAGTGATGGGGGAAGAAACTGTCCCTGTGCCTGTTTGTCTTGGTGCACAGTGACCTGTAACGCCATCCAGAGGGGAGGAGTTCAAACAGATTGTGTCCAGGGTGTGAGGGGTCTGCAGTGATCTTCTCCGCCCTCCTTTTGACCCGTGAGGTGTACAGGTCCTCCATGGAGGGCAGGCTCACACCAATGAGTCTTACTGCAGTCCTCACTGTCTGCTGAAGTCTGTACCTGTCCCGTTTGGTTGCTGAGCCAAACCAGACAGTGATGGAAGTGCAGAGAATCGACTGGCTGATGGTATGTTACTGTTAGAAACAAGTGATGGTTGGAGAAAAAGAGTGTTCCTGAGCTGGCGCAGGAAGTACATCCTCTGCTGTGCCTTCTTGATGATGGTCCTGATGTTGGATGTCCACTTCAGGTCCTGGAAGATAGTGGAGCCCAGGAACTTGGGGACCGAAACCTGTTAACACACTCACACTGTGGGAACTTGGCCATCCTTGTGGGGACCAGAAGTTAGTGCAGTCACTGAATTTTAGGGCAACATGGTTTAGGTATTAGGATGAGGTTAAATGTTAGGTATTAGAGAAGTAGTGGTTATGGTTAAGGTTAGGATAAATCTACAGGAAATGAATATAAGTCAATGTAAAGTCCTCCTCCTTGAACCGCCACCTTATTGTGGTGGAGGGGTTTGCGTACCCGAGTGATCCTAGGAGCTATATGTCCCTGGTAGGGTCTCCCAAGGCAAACAGGTCCTGGGTGACGGGTCAGACTAAGAGCGGT